CATAACAATCATTCCCCATAAGACCCACATACAGAGGTACACATAGGCAAATGTATGCGTACACACACATACATACATACATACATACATACATACATACATATATATATATATATATATTTTGCGCAGTTTTTGCTTTTGTCTCCCTATTGGACACCAATTATATATGAAAATCACCGGTATTGCTAGGCAACCATTTATACACTCACCAAACCTTGTCAGAAAACCCTACACTATATCCCTACTGTTGGTACTAAAGATCTTTCATAACCTTGATACATCAAAATACTACAATCGCCAAGGTTTGGGGCATTTAGTTCGGGTCATGCATGAGCCTTTTAATGGACCCATTCGAGGGTTGCCGCATGTCGAGAAACCCCACCCGTATCTGAAGAGAATTCTTTGTAAGTAATAAGGCGACTTTGGTAACCCCAATCCCCCAACTCCACCTTATAGCCATCATATGACTCCAATACGTCCTTTTCTCTACAATACCCTATATACCCTACGAGTATACGTCCCTATGCATCCCTATATAGCCCTGAAGGTTCTACAAATATACATATGTATATATAAACATGTATTCATATGTATACCCCCTTATGTGTATATATATATATACACACACATATATATATACCCCTATATATATAAAAGAGCATATACATATATATAAATATATATGTATATATGCCTGTCCCTAGAGGCCCCTAAAGGGGGTCTGGAGAAGCCACCCGCGACCTACTGGTGTTCAAAAGGGAGTGGATTCTTGTAATGACTCCTATGCAATCCCTACATAGACCTTTACAAGAATCCCGATTTCACTCCCCCACTCCCCCTTAAGCACAAAACAAAAAGCAGCTGCTGGGCCCCAAGCTTGCAGAAGGTGCGGACTGCCAATGCCAGATTGTCCGAATCCTGCTTGGGCATGTTTAGGGTGTAGGATTTAGGGTGTACTTTGGTTTAGGGCGAAGGGCTTGAAAGGGCTTATTAGGGTTTGCGGATTTCGGCTTATTAGAGCTTAAGATTTAGGGTTTAGGGTTTAGGATTTAGGGCTTATTAGGGTTTAGGATGTAAGGTTTAGATTTAGGGTTTAGGGGTTGCTGTCAAGGAACTTAATTTAAGCCACTACATTATGGGCATATGGTAAACGCAACCTGGATATAGAGGGACACGAAGTACTCGCTGATTTTAGGCTCCATGTTGGCTTGGGCAGGCAAATGTTGTAAAAAGGTGGAATGGCTCCAGGCAAATTCCTCATCCCGGATTAAGAGTTTAGGGTTTAGGATTACGGTTTTAAGCCTTAGTGTTTAGGGTTTAGGGTTCAAGCTTTGGAAGCCCTAAACCTAAAAAAGCGTATCGGCTTTCCTGTCGGACTTGCCCTCTCGTCCTCCTTGAAAAATCATCACAACGGAGAAAAAGAACTATCCTAGAGGATGCAGCAAGTCCCGCACGCACTAGAAACCGTAGGAAGCATAACACGGACCCTTGAGCTTCTGGCTGGACATGTCCCTTTATTCAGGGTTTAGGGTCTAAGGTTAAAAATTTGACGCACAACAGGCATTTGAATAATGAGACCACGTGTCATGAAGGGCAAACTGTGCAAAAACTGCCGTTTACTTCGCCAATGTGGGAGCGGTGCCCTCTGTACATGCTGGGGCTTCCTTCGGAAATCCCCATTGCCAAAGTGGAACGAACAAAGGAATTGATGATGGCAGCCTGTCCAACAACAGACGCCAGATCCAATTGGCGGTGTCTTTTCTGAAAAGGCCACAGCCAACCAAGAAGTGAACCATTTGAGAAGCAAAACCAAGATTGTGTCTAGCTTCGGCTAGACAGGCAGGCTAAGTAGGCACATTACGAAACACCAGAGCTATCAATAATGGTACTGATAACCACCTGCTTCCGATCGAGGTAAAGCTAAAACCCCTTAACCCTAAAGCTCTAAGACCCTAAAACCCCTTAAGCCCTAAAGCCCTAAACCCCTTAACCCTAATGCCCTAAGACACTAAAACCCCTTAACCCTAAAGCCCTAAGCCCCTAAAACCCCTTAACCCTCCTAAACCCTACACCCCTACACCCCTTAAACTTTAAACCCTCAATAGTAGTTTCCATTTTCTTTTCCATTATCAAAATAT